GGGGAAAGGCGGGAAGGGCGCTGCCCTCAGAGGCGGCCCCGCGGAGCCCCGGGAGGGCGCGGGCACTCGCCCCTCTTCCCTTACGCGGCTCTAGGGGTAGCTGGCACCTCGTTCGCCGGGGCACGGTTCCTGTAGCTGGCCTCTCCCCGCCAGTGGTGTTGGACAGCGCTGGCAGGCCCGTTGCTCTTGTCCGTGACTCGTCGAGGCGGGGGGAGCAGCTGGCTCCTCTTCCAGGCGCTGCTCCATGACAGAACAGCAGGAGCGGGTGGTGAAGATGGGCCTGGAGTGACGGTCGGCATTTTGGAGTTGAGGAATCCCTTGCAAGTGGTGGTCGCTGCCATTGCCTTGTGCAAGTGAGCGTGAGGCAGACACAGCGGGACCCCTTTCCTGTTGGGGCAGTGCCACATTGCGAACCGGCTGAGGCCCTCGCCTGAGTTTGGTCTGACGCTGTAGAAGGGAGGCACGTGAATGTACGTGTTGTAGAGCTCCCACTTGCAAGAGGAGGCAGGTATTAGCAGCCAGCAGAGATTTGCAAGACAGTTACAGTGTGCATCTGTGAAGTCATATAGACTATTTTAACTATGTGCTCGAGGAGGTTGGCCTAAAAAGAGTAGTCAGAATGCAACTTCAGGTTAACAAGCAGGAAACGCGTTGTGAATGCAAGATGAAAAACCTAGCAAGTAAAGCAGTTATGTAAAAGGCAAGACAGATTTTTCAGTTCACTCTTGCATCAGCTGATGACCTGGTACATACCTTGTAACGCTCCCAAGTCCTCAAGCACAAGAACTATATTAGTCTGTAGGCTTTCTTGTAAATATTCTCATGAGGCCCTTATATCTAACAGTTTGTTTAATGATGGGTAAGCCACACCATTACAGAAACTGGAAATATCAAGCCAATGGCAAGTCTGACAGGCCTAAGAGCATATGCAGCCTCCACACATTTGTGGAAGTATAGCATGCCAAGAACGATGCTGTTGAGGAAGACTTCCTCCAATGACAAGTGTGATTGGTTTACTATAATAAGACTACAGACTCTCAATTCCTGTCATAGCGCTTGGTTCACTTATCATTGCTGCTGCTGAACAATGAGAATGAAGACTAGGTGAAGCCACATATTAATTAGTGACTGCCTGTATTACAGACATTATTCCATAAAAGATGTCCTTAGGAAATCACAAGCTGAAATCCTCTCGATAATGATTTTATCAGTGAGTACTTCAACAATAAAACATCTTCCCCTTTGAAACCTTATCACTTCTATTATGGTACCAAAAAGCCTATACTGCTATTCTTCCTGATTATTTTCAAGTATCTTTTGGATTTTTAAGTCTAAGCCTAGCTTCAGTAAAACACCTATGGTTCTATTTCTGCCTCACATTATGATGTTAAATAACCTTCTAACTTTTGTCCTCAAAAGTGTAAGAGAAAGAAGATAATGTACCAGTTATCCAAGTCTGAGTGAGGTTCACGTACCTGCTTAGTTTTGCAGGGGGGGCAGGGGGAGGTATGCCATTAGAACCAGAACAGCTCTTCGGAAATCAAGGTAATTTTAGGATTACATAGCCTGACAGCAGTAGGAATTCTACCAATTATACACAACCATAAAAGAAATAATCATGACCCTTTTGCTTAATCTGAAGCTTGATGAGGTTAGAAGGCAGATCTGATTACAAGAGTAACAAATACTGAGGGAATTTTGAGCAGAAATTGGTATTAATAATCTTAACTCAGATTATTCGCAAAAAACTATTAAAGGCATAGTTCTAGCCCTGTGGCATTCTTACTGTGTGCACCAAACTTACCTCCTCCTAGGGCAAAAAATGTAATTAAATCCTACAAAATGAGTTTGTGAACACATTTTTATTACCTTCTCTGCAACCCTCCTGCCAAGATTTTGGTTTTATAATATTCAGATATTTGCTGTATTATTAGCTGTGATTCTTCCCAGTAATGGTGAATATAAGGGCTAATCTGAAAGTGTAAGTTATCACCCCCATCCTACCAAACATACATGCGAATCTACTGATTTCTATGAGCATGGCAGAAGGCTTACAGACCAGCTGTGGGCATAAACTAGTCCGCTTTTTCTAGACAGATGGTATTTTTCTTCCCTACCTATCAATGGAAATTCATTTTTCAGCAAGAGAAGTGTATTGTTCCAAACATGACCCTGTTGAAGTTACCAACACATTGAATACATCTCCATTTGATTATTTTTTTTTTAAAGCACACAGCCATATAAATCAGAAGTTACTGTAGTATTTTCCTCTCTTGCATGAGTAGTTCAGCACACTTTTTTTGGGGGAAAAGAAAGGCACTTTGGCTTCAGTCATGAGTTGCAAGCTAGCTGCACTGAGTTGTTTCACTGTAGTTTCTAATACTTACTGCAGTCTTTTGAAATACTTGCTTCCTGACTCCAGTTATCTCTGTGAGGAACATGAATTAGTGCCCACTTTAATACAAATATGGAGAACAAATGAGCAATGTAGAATCCTAGTCAAAACAACCACAATATTCTAGAAAAAGATATTTTGGTAGTAAATTTATTAAACCTTATAAACAAAAGCAAAGACTCTTTGCAGAAGCTTCTCCTTAATCAAGAGTGTAGTTTTGAAGAAAATTTTAATCATAAAACAGTGCTTTTTTTTTTTTTTTAGTGAGAATGCTGGTACATGGGAAGTTATTGACTTCCCTTCTAGCCTCTATATGTCCACTCTGTACTTCTAAAGGAAGTTTAAGCTCACATGAATGATAGAAAAAAAAAAAAAAGTTGGCTATTACCCTGTCTCCACAAAGCACTTACTGCAAGGATACATGAACCGTGTAAAGAAAGCATTGTTTCTATTTCTTGAAGCACTTCAAGGGCTCAGTTGTGTCTTGACAATGCCATATTTTAAAATATTATCATTCTACACTTTTAATAGAGTAAAAAGTTAACAGATACATTTTCCTATTAAAAAACTGCAAAGCCTTAGCTAAGCACAAATCATACTATATTAAAAGTGTTGCATTAAGAGTCTAACCATAGCCCCCTTTTAAAATTCAGATTTATGGGGCTCCTGACAGAACTTATAGTACTACAGCTTTACTGTAAGCCAGGTAATTTTATTAGCCATACCATAAATGGCTCTTATGGTTCATTCCTCCTTTTTTTCCACCTTCAATTTTTAAAGAAAGTAAAGATTGTAAGTTCAAGGATATAGTACCTTAAATAATTATTCAGATATCTATTAAACCTTTCACCTTCTATTTTTAATGTCAATCAAAACAAATATTATAGGAATAAAAGTGGTTGGTCTGTAAGAATTTATACATTAACATACTAGATTTTAGTATCTTGCTGGCTTTGAGAGAGCAACAATTTGGTTATTCTGTAAAATTTCAAATATATAACCTTTCAGTTCTGCAGTGTACATTTTCCATGCCTTTATGGGACTGGTTCACTTAACTGGCACCACTCAAATTCATACAGCCTTTGGTGTTTTTCAGATGGAAGAAACAACAGGATTGTGACTAGCATGCAGGGATACCCTCAATTGTTCTGTCAGCAGAAATAAGGCCCGAAAGGGAAGGTAAGGAGATTTTGCTTGATATCATAAAGTATACTTTTATCATCATATGACCATTTAAAGTTGTCCATGCCTTTTTTTTTTTTTTTTAAATAGACAAATACTCTAGGTAAAAATAGCTAAAGAATACATTTAAGTTTGGCTTGTTATCAGGCTGCTAACTTAAGTATTGGGAATAAGACTGACAGATGTCACCCCTGTTTTAATTGGAGTGAACAATTTAAGAAAAAATAGTAGCAGCTATTTCACATTTTAAATCACATGTTAAATAGATTGCTGCTCTTGGTATGCATGCTTCTTGCTTCAGGCCTTGTCTGTTCCAGTACTAAACTGTGCTTCAGGAAGCAGTCTCTCATGCAATTTTTCTCAGCTTTTTTTCTGGCATAGTCCCCTCCCTGCCCTTTGACACTTGAAGAATTTCAGTGCTTTTAGTTTGGTCCAGGAAAAAAGGTAAGATATAAAACCAATTAAGATCATGAGTTTATCTGTTCCAGCTCATCAGTTAGAAGGAAACACAAATCATTACAGGTCTCAGTGAAAAAAAGCTCTTGGGATCAAATTATCTTAAGAAGGTATTTTACTTCATCAATATATCTGTTTACTGAAAAGACACCACTGAATGACTATATAAAATGTGTTACAAGGGACAACATTCATGCTGACTGTGGCCTACACGCTTTCTTGGGCATTTTCTTTGGTGTTTTTGAAGACTTCTTGGCTGACTGAATTGATTTACCAGCTTTGGGTGTTGCAAAAGACTTTGCTCCAGGCTTTTTGGGAGTCTTTTTCATCTCTTTTTCTTTTATTGCTTCCTTTGGCGTGTTGAGCTGCTTGGCTTTTTTCTGTTTTAGTGATGTCTGCAAGTCTGCACACTCTTCTGTAACTTTATGTTTTGGTTTTGGAGTCTCCAGAGCTACAGGTTGCTTCTTTCTCTTACCAAGGGGTGTTTTGCTTTTCTCACCCATTTTGTCACCTTTTTCTAGACTTGGTTCCATTTTCTGTATTTAAGACAAACAAAAAGAATTACCCTTCCACCTAAGAAACATCCTTACTGTTTTGAAGAAGAATAAATTAAAACCATTACCAATGACAAATGCTTTCTATTGATTGAACTCTATCCTAGCCCAAATAATCTCTTCACATTTCAGTCTAGAAGCAGAGGATTAAACACAGAACTAAATCATGAAAATAATGAAAAAAAAAATACTAAGAAAGTGAAAAGATTTAACAGATGTAAGGATCCTCTTGGTCAGTCAAGTCACTGACCTCTGCTGGCAGAGCTTTAAACCACAGTCCTCTTCCTGCCACACTTCCAGGCTTAATAGATTGAAGAGAGATCAGCTCTATTTGAAGTCCAGCTGTACACACACACACACTGACTGCACTCTTATTTGTACATGAGGTCTAGTATTCACTAGAGTTTAATCATGTATTGCCAAGTAGCCCTCAAGAAAGAAGGCTGTTGTCATCAGAACAATTCATACAAACCACGTCTAGCTGTATCTATCCCAGGTCTCTGGAAATAGGGCTCTAGCAGTCACATTACATCGGCTAATCTAGACCAGTTGGATGAGAGCAGCTTGAAGCAAGCTGTGTGGGTTTTTTTTTTTTTTTGGTGGGCCTGCACATAGTTTTAGTCTGGGTATGCCTGAAAAGGTACATCATTAGAGTTCAAGGATGTGCTCCAACCATGAATGCAGTATAACTAAGTGAATTTATAATTGTTATTGGTTTATTCATTCAAATACCTTTCCTAGGTATTTGTTAAACGCAAGTAGTATCAGTCTAGTTGTTTTGCTGACGTTAATGACATGATCCACATAATTTCTAACACTGGCAACAGTAAGTCATACATTATTTCATGCAAGCTGCTAGCTCTCAATTTATATTATGTGATTGTTAATGTTGCATATTACTATCCTAGAGAATGTTGTTTTTCTTCAAGTTTTGCAGTCCATGCAGAAGATGATACATTAAAATTTAATTTTATAAGAAATTTTGAATTAGAAATGTTATTATTTACTTAAGTATTAAGGTGTTTCTGAATTATTTGCCCTTTCTTCTGACTTCAGGTGTGTTATTTGACCTAGACCAAATTGCCACTCTTAGAAAAATATGTAAAGGGACAATAACCACTGGCTTCCTTTGTCTGTAAGAGGGGTTAACTAAAAAATTAAAACACCCTCAAAACCAAAAAACCAAGTTCCTCAATATTATTAACACTTACCATCAGCTCAGCTAAGCTGGTTGTTTGCACAGGCACCAGTTGTGGAATTTCTTCATCATCATCATCATGATCACCTGGTTCTTGGACTACTACTTTTTCTTTTATTGCAAGCTCCTGGGTAGCAGCAGCAGCATTAAGTTCAGTTGTCAAAGTGACTTGACTTGAATTCACTTTTTTAGCTGCCTTCTTCGGTTTCTTGTTTTTTCCCTTCTAGAATTAATTGGAAGTACATCTCAGACAACACAATCCCCACAGCATTTCTAAATGTAAAATGATTGTTTTAATATGGTTAAAAATAAGACAGTCCAGCAACATTAACTCAAATATTGTTGTTCAATAGACCTGGACTGGTCAACCATACGTAAAATATGAAAAAAATACGAAAAAAATACATTCCTTTCAGAAGTTTATGAAGAGTAGGTCATAAGTAAACTATAAGAATGTCAAGATTACAGTATTTAAGTTGAATATATATGCTCCAATTTTATTTTAGACAAAAGAACATAACAAGCAGAACTCAGAACAAAGCAATAGCTGATTATTTTCTTTTTTAAAGAACTAGGTGAGCCCCCCCTTATATATAGATGTATAGCTTGTGAATTATTCAGATGCCACTGATTAGCCAACAAATAATGGATGCATAGTCTAAATCCATGTATATGTTACTGTGTGTATTTTCAGAAGGCAAATATCAATAAACAACACAAGCAAAAGCTCCAAGAATGAATCTGAGCTCCCTACAGTTTAGGACTAGAAACACTTAACTTAGTTATTTCCAATTTGCTTTACAACCTATCAGGGAGCTTTCACGATTTCGTATTACTGAGAATTTGAAGTATTTTAGAGGCAGGAGCGCCTAACCCATTTGTAGCCATAAATGCATGGGATTACCTGATAGAATGTTTAAACCCAACACATCAGACACTAGAACTAGCCATAGAACTATTCTTTCTGAGAGGTTTTATGGAAAGTTTGAAGAATTTTTTTTTTTTACCTTTACTTCCTTTTTTTTAAGAGGTGGCTCTCTATCAAGCTCATCCAAATTGGAGATATTTGCAGTAAAAATCGGAAGTGCAACTGATTTAAGTGTCTTGAGGTGAAGAATTTTTACATTTTTCCAATTCTGCAACAACAAAAACAGTGTATTATGTAAAAATAACAAGGCTGAACTATGAACTGACTTCGCTTTAATGCAATCAGCAGTACCTTTGGGAGCTTCTTAGCAATCACCTCAGCTGCTGCAATGATATTATCTAGTATCTCATCAGCTTTCATTCCAGTGTGACCTATGCGTGCTGTACTGAAAGAAGTGAAGAGTAATGTTTATATGGGGGCACATAAACATACTTCCAGTTACTTGTTCTTAGGCATACCCAGAAATGAAAAAAGCCCATTTATGTGCAATTAGCTTAATTTTCATGAAGGATAGCTGGCTATTGCAGAAGTCTTTTGTAATAAGTCAGAATAGATTTACCTGTATTAGGCTTTCTGCATTTGGATATGCAACGTCTGCCTTACATTACTAAGCATATTACCAATTTAGATTCTTTTCAATGCACAATAAAGGAAAAAAGTCTTACAAGAACAGAGTATTTTGGAAGTAGTTTTTATCTAATTTAACAGTACATTTACATGCTGCTTGACAGTGACAGTTGCCTAGAAATTCATTAAGGAAAAAGAGGCAAAAAGTAACACTTTACAGTAAAACTTAGTAAGTAGAACTACAGATTTCGTTATAGAGGTTAAGGTGAAAAATGGTCTATATCTGGAATGGTGACCCTTAACCTCTTTTATTCACCTATTAATGGAATAAAAATAAATGCACTTAAAATCCCTACAGGTAAGGTACAACCGACTTGGAAGTGAAGTATTAATCTACTCATACTTACTAACAGCACCCTTTGTTGGTAACTGGGAGCGTAGTCCCCTGGATATGTTTTTGTAGCTCCTTAGCAAGGTTTTTGGCTTTCAAGTTTACAGATAAAGGTGCCCTAAAAAAAGAAAGGGGAGGAATTAAATACATTTTAAAAAAAACAAACCAAGCAAACGAAAACTAAACCCACCTCCCACCCCCAAAAACCTAACCAACCAAAACTTTACTAAGAAGAATCTAGTATTAAAAAATAGAATGCAAAATGGATATACAGAATTTAAAGACCTACTTTTTCCTTTCATAGAAGTGTTTTCCTAGATGTGAGGGCAAGAGCCTTCTAATTCGGTCATCAGACAGAAAGAGATCAAATCTGTTCAGGAGGCGACGCTTTGCTTCAAACAGCTTATACTCTTTTTTGAGGGTTTTGTATGAGATGATCTGCAATGCAAGTAACAGTTTAGTCCCCAACCCATAAACAATCCAGTCCAGCTACAAAGAACTCAAATATTCTTCTACATTTTGAGTTTTTCCAGTTGCTTACTCAATCTAAATATTGAGCATTTATCTAGCAATTACATCCGATTGCTAAAGATTCTGTTATGAATTGAAGAAATTATTCTGAGTAAATTTTGAAGTTTAGAAAAACTACAGTTCGAATAGTCATAAAAATCTTACTAGAGATCATTAACTGAAAACCATTGAGATTAGAACATTAAACAGCAGGAAACAGCAACTACTTTCCTTTTCCCTGGGACAAGAGGAAAGAAATGACAGTACTCCACTATTCCGTCACATCTCTCTCTTACCTGGCTAACACTTTTGATCCCATTCTGGATTAGAAGTTTCTTGTACAGATTTTCAGTCTGTTCGGCTGATAAATTTGGTTCATCCTTTGTGAACAGGCAAACCTCAGCTGTTTCTGGTCGAATACCATGGGGCAGTGGTCTACAACAAGAATATGAGATGGACAGGGAACGTCTTAAGAAGAGAAAGTTTTTTCCAGAACTAGTTCTACAGAAATCAACACCCTTTAACAACTACTACAGAGAAACTATGTATCTAGATTCAGTTCTTTGTTAACTACTAAATGTCCTTGGTGGAACCTATACTTTCAAAAGCACACGGAACTGCAGAAGTTAAACAATCATATACCATGGCTGCAGCCCGATACACCGCTGAGTCCATCTGTACTGCCAGGAGCAGCCAGCACGCAGGGCTGAGGAGGAGGAGGACCAGCCATTCTCCCCTCTTTACACCACGGCTGCACCCAGTCATTAGACAAGTCTTTGTAGCACTGGGGCCCATATGAACAGATGTAAACTTTCTCGATATGGCACAGCTACAGTTTCAAAAAAAATTACAATTCACATTCGCTTTTGAGTTTCACAAAAGAAAAAAA